TGTGTACACCTGCCGGATTTTCTTTCCTCTGGGTTTAAATTTAACCCAAAAAAAGGGGGAGGGAGAAGGCCTTCGGCCCCTCCCCTAGATCTGCTACTGCCAAAGTGCGAATTTAATCGATTTTATTATTGATTAGGAGAAACAAGCATGTTTGATTCCTTGGAGCGCCAACTCTCATAACAAGTCACAGATCAAGATAAATCACCCAATGAAGGGGAAAACGAAACCCATCCGATTGGAAAGACAACTAGATCCCTTTTTTTACAAACTTATACGCTTTATAAGCGAATGTGGGGAAAGATTTTCAGAAGCTAAAAATAAATTTAATGTTTGATCTCTTGCTATTAGGCGTATTTTCTGGTATCTTGACTCGTCATTGTGATACAGGAAATAGTAACCTACAAAGCGCCTTGGCTGTGGACTGACAGCGCCAGAAGATGCACAGTGACCCCACAATACCCCAGGTCATTCTCTTCACAAAGAAAAGAATGTGAGCTTTCACAGCTTCCACTGTGAGCTTCAGACTCCATCACGACAACTCTTCGTCGTTTAAATCATTTTGCTGCTCGTCTTTATTAATTTTCTTCCCTTCGTTAGGTGGGCTAGACTGATGATGGTTACACTGGTTCCTTGTCGTTTGTCCCATACCATAGTCCTTGGCCAGTGTCGTTTGAGGTAACGATTTCTTCGCGATCGACAGAATGGTTGAAAATACAATCGAAGTCGAAGATAAAAAGCCAAAGCCATTTATTATTGATGATGCACTGGTTCTAATCGTCGTCCCACTGGTTCAGTCTGACATTAATGGTGGGACAATTTTTTCTCCATCAATTCACTCAATATTCATGGCCTTCTCCCGAAAAATATTCGCCGGTGTTGCACTCTTGTATCTGACTGCGAACACACAGGAAGTGTGATGTTGTTTCCTTTGATTGCGCAAGCGAAAACTGTTAAGTCTGCGCGGTGTGTGCCGATCAAACATCAAACAAAGCCCTACTTTTAAGAATCGCGGCTGACTATGCCAAGCTGATATAGAGTATTGGCTATATTATATTTACCAGATATCATAATTAAGTATGAATTGATCTATACAGTGTGATTATATTTCGACTTGAAAAGTGATGGAAGGCTACCCCGGTGGAAGAAACATAATTATCTTTTTTGTGTGTATTTTTTTTTATGTATTTCATATGTTTGTTGTTTTATAATTATCTTTTTGTTCCTTATTTTTGCGGGAACATGGGAAGGACATATTGTTACCAGGAGAGGGGTGGGGAGACTGTTAGTGTAAGTGTCCCAACAAATGTTTCTGGCCGAGTGTAGCATATACGCTAAAAATGACTTCAATGTCCTCAGCTCTTTCTTGTTTTTGTTTTGCGAACGTCGCTTTTGAAAATGCCTCTAGCCAAGATAAATTGAAGTGATTTTTGTAAACTGTCAAGTATCAAGTATTTAAAATACAAAGGGCATATTTTCCCCTCATTGTTGAAGGTTACCTAGTATCATATAGATGGTAAATATCACATGACATTATTACACCACCGATAACTGAGTAAAGCTGTTAAAAGATATACAAGGTACATATCAAACCAATATCTAACGATGAAATTATTAAGAGTTCAGCTTCTGCAATGTACAAGGTACAGTTGGGGCCATTACGACACTCCGCTTTTTTCATTCTCTTTCGAAATTACAAAGTTCAGCGAAGGCGTCTTCAGTATATGGTTAAAAATGCTCTGCGAGCGTCATATATATTATTCAAGACTAATCAAAGAAAAACGGACATTGTAAGAAACTTTACTCGTAACGAACAATCATTTTTTGAGGGGCGTCTAGTTCGCAATTAAGTGTTAGGTGATTGTTCTGTTAGGACTGTAGAGTTTAATATGCGTATCTAAACAACGGATTAAACCGAATTACACCGCGGTCCTTAACTCTCCGACTCCATACTCTCTTCTCCTCGTTCCAATCCTATAATAGTCTTTCATATATCTCGGCATACACTGCAAGGACATCTACAAGAGAGGCAACTTCTACGGGAGAATAGAAAAAAAAGATGGTACCGATGGTAGTTTATTACAAGGTGGAAGAGGAATTTGTTGGACTCGAATGAGAAAGCGATATATCAGTTTTGGGTAAAATATTGGGATGTCGATGATATTTTTCAAGCACGATATCCATTCACCCGAGTCAAGTCTTTGTTCCTCCCTGAGAAGATTAGAAACGCGCTCTATCTTATCTATAAGTGGCTATTTGTATCGAGCCTTGTTCGTCGTATCTAGTCTAAAACTTTGGACTGAGAATAATATCCTTCATTCTTGTTGGATTTTCTCACAAATAAACAGAAGCTAATCTTAAGCTAGATTAAATTTCTCAAGAGAACAGAACATTTTTTTTTTTGTCATTCATTGTGCGCTGTCGTAGAAAGGAAACCATGAAGAAACCGAAGAACGCTTAGACAAGAAGCCTAGGCCTGCTGGTCCCGTTTTGCATCACCAAGACTTTTTCTGAGGGTGAGTGATTCACAAGCGCTGCCATTTTTTCGGCCACATCTTAATAGAGTGATAGAAAGCGGTAGAAGGCCGCATTGAATGTTGGTTGAAACTAACTCTTGCAGTCAGAGACAGTCTTAATCAAATTATACAATATTTTCATTCTCTATAGTACAAAATGTGATAACAGTAAATTACAGTTGAGATAAAGAATTATGTAACAGCTAAGTATAGCTTAAGACGCTCTCTCGCTGATAATTTATTTTCTGGGAGACGCTAATTTTCACTAGCGGTTCTTAATTAATCGCCTGGAATAAACAATATGAGTAGAGGATGAACAATATCAAACTAACCTAGTCTACGAATAAATTCCAGTGTTTTCTGATAGCCTCTTACCGATGATTTTATCTCGGTAAAGGATTATTTGGCGCTCGCGTAGGGTTTGAATATTCCGAGTTTCCATCTGACAAGGAAAACATCTGGCTATAAACGACATTGATGAATTTGTTATGAGAAAAGTGAACTTTCAAATAGTGGCAGCTGATAGCAAATTGGTTACTGCTGCAGAGACATTCTGTACATGAAAAAAGTCACAGGAAATAAAATGAACTTTCGCAGAAGAATTTTATGCTTGCCTGATTGTGTGTAAATGATATATGTAAGCTCATATTGTGAAAGTTTGCCCGAAGACAAGTTTCAATCCATTATGTATATTTATCATTCTATATTGTCGGCGTTTGAATTGAAAAGTCGAATGTTAATCTGCGGTAATAGAGATGACTTCAAGCATAAAGAATGCAGTTTTTTTTTTTTAATCTGAATTCGCATATTTTTATGGAAAAAGAAACATTACAGTGAAATCTGTGTCAATGGAAGTTTCGGAGAAACAGAATCTTCGATAAGAGCTTCAGTGAGTCTTTGATAAATTTTTTTCTCATTTCAATTTTGGCCCGATAGTATAAGCTTTGCTATAACGCGACTGAGTAAACGGATATTTCACTTTCGATAGGGAATTTTCGAAGCTATCTGCAAGCAATTTCTCCACGCTTCCGATAATGAATATTTATCCAGAAACTGAAACTCTTCAATTAGTGACGCCTCGTTTCGAGTCAAATTTCTTCAATGGCAAACGAGTTGTTTTGCTTTGTAATCCAGTTTTCATAAAACAGGATCTAAAAGGCTTATTTAAGTGAGCTTTGTTTCGTTTGGTAATCAATACTAAAAAAATGGTCAAACAAAAGTGCATGCTGTTCTTGATAATTTTCAATTGGGCATCTCCAGGCATAATATCATGTCTTTTTTCCCAATCTTACCTCATTGTCTGTTCCTTACACGGTACCTGTTGTATGAATTACCGAAATTTCCAACAGTATTGTTGAAAAGGTTATTGATTTATCTATGAGCGCAGAAAAAGGCGGCAAATATATATGAAAATGAAAAGCAACGACGACGAATCGTCGAAAAAAGAACCTTTTCCTTGAAATAGCAAATCAGTCTCTCTACGGAAACGCTGAAAAAGACCACAAAGTTCCTTTGTTGATATTTTAATTTCCCTGCACTGAATTTTTTGCGTGCTTTCATCCTTTTGAACAGCGATTGGCTGAGGCAGAAAGCTATCATTCATCAGCCAATGATACCACGAGAAAGCGACTACAGCCGGCCGTGTTATTGTTCCTCTGAATGACTCACGTGTATATCTGACAAATTATTGTCACTAGCAGTGACGAGTGCTAACGTACCCGACAGGAATCTTCTTGCGGGCTACCCACGTGCTTGCCGACTCAGTTCACCTGTATAAACGCAACCTCGCCGATCATATCTTCAAATTCAGAAGTGGCCACCGCAAGATGCTTTCAACTGTAAAAGGCGAACTGCCGTGAGGTGCGGTTTTGCCGACCGTGATTCAGTCCTGCAAAGTGCCAACAAGGAAACTTGAAATGGCTTTCAATGTAAAACGGAGGAATTCTACAATTCAATTTACAATCTTTGGCCAGGTTACGCGCGGCAAGATTTGAAAAATTCAGAAATATGTTGACTGGCATAGTGATTTTTGTTGCTCTCTTGTGGAGTATCAGACAGAGAGGGGAGCTTGCGAAAGCAGGTAGGTCGAAGAAATTAAAAAAATTTTTTTTTCAACCCGAGGAAATGCTCTGTCTACCACAGTGTTTGTAGAATGACACGAGAATATGTCATTACGATTTTACTCGTGCGTGAATGCCCTGAAGCAACTTTGTACAATAATCTTATTTTATTTCAGCTCTAACAACAGAAACCCATTGCTCGTATGAAAGCCGATAAAAATAGCTGTCGTTTCATGTGGTAGTTAAAAACATTGCTAGCGAACAAAGATTTTCGATTCCTTGCGGAAACCTCTGTCATTTTCTGCCGCTGAATGACTAACTGTAGAATCTTTATTTTGTTTTGATGTACATCAAATTGAAACACTCTTTTTGCATGTTTTCAAACATTGCATTAAAATGATAAATTTGGCAAAAATTCGACTAGTAAGCGCTTTACTCGAAACTGAAACAAAAAAACATCACAGCCACTTTTGAATGAAAACAACACAATATTAATGAATTTTGTAGGAACTGTCAACTATGGGATTGTTCTGTGTCTTCAAAGCCGCCCCTTAAATCTCGAGGCCAATATATTCCCCACTTTTATTTCGTGTTCTTACTCACAAAACCACAAATAATCTTTGTTTTTTTTCTCTGTTCTTATCGCTACCTTCAAATTGTAAAGCAACTTCATTCACGAGTAGAAATTTTATTTGTCTCTATTTTCTCGCTTTGCACTTATTGCGTGTATATCAAAGAATCAATTATGAAGGACTGGAGGACAAACTTATTGGGCACGTTCAGCGCCTGGTTCACGAAATACCCCCAGACAATATTTTTAGCAATATTTTTCGTTGAAGAAACGGGAGAAAAATGTCTTCGGGAGCTATTACGAGAGGAATCGTAAACAAGAACTTGTATTTCAGGCCATTAGACGGCATGTATACATCTATTTAAAAATGTGACGCTTCGGGAAAATACTAAAAATTATTTCCTGAAAATACCGTTGTCATGGAATCGTATGATTCTTGAAAAAAATTTTTGGTTCGAATTTCAAGACTGAAAATTTACCGGCGAAGGACAAAATAATTTGTAATTTTCGATGTGAATTCTTGAGGAAAAAGAGCAGAACAGTGCCGTAAAAATATAGCACATTTTCGAAGCTGTTTTTTTCTTTAAATGTTTTTGACATGTAAATAATGCGAGCATTTAAATCCACTGAGGTGCAAATATGGGTAAAGATTCAATGCCCCTCAACTTATTTAAGGTGTTTCTTAATTTATCCCATCTAGTCAAGGATGAGTTTCTGGGGTATGGCATCGCAGCTGTGTCAGTAAAAATGCGCCAAGTTTTTGTAGTTGCTTTGGGAGGGAAGATTTTCACCGATTAGCAGTGCTTTTGCATTTTATCTGTTTACCTTCGCGATGGATGGAATAATGGACGGATAAAAGTTATCTTCAATTAGAGAGAAACAGCAGGAATATACGAACGAATAGCGCAACTGCCGTGTGGTTTCTTTTTAGTAATCTAAAGAGAATTGCTCGAAGAGAAACAAAAAAAGAATTAAATTCGCCTTTTGTGTCGAGTTACCCATATTCCAGGAAGCCGTAATGTTAGCTTAGTAGTGTTCTGCAGGTGATAGTAAAGGCCTTTTTTACGCGAATAAATGCAAGCAATTTTAGTTATTTATTCAAGATCGATACCCAATCCAAACATGTCGAAATCCCTAAAAAGCTTTCATTCAAATGAAGGGCCAAGGTTGTCATATTTTCACTTTATTGTGAAGGGGAAGGTTAATTGAACTCGCGTACTGAAACATTCATTAATCCGGCTCCAGTCATTTCTCGTGAAATAACTCCGCTGAATTTTCAATTTTTTCCATGTGAAGACAGTAATTGCATAATTTTAGCGAAAAATCTAACTGTGTGGGTTTTCGAGAACATTGTTTAGGCTTTGTGTAAGGACTATCTCTTTCGCCATCATCGTTCCGGGCAAAAACAAACTTCCATGTGCAGTATTGATCGTCGGTCACATGTTAGTCTAAAAGCAAAAATATATGGTTTTAAAAATACACACAGATTGGACGTTGAAACCCTCAGTTGGTATACAATTAACGGATCGACATACATTCCCTTCTTTTCAATAAAAGAGATGTGTATTGAAGGATTAAAAACTCGTTTCGAAATGGCTCATTTTTATCAGCGTTTGATCATGCATTTCACTCATTATTCATAACATGAACCTTAACAAGCTGGTTACAAAAAATACGTACGATGAGGATCTTTAAACGTTCGGTAAAAACAGACATGAATATATTTTATCTTCAATCAAGGAATTTTTTGCCAAATGTCGTTTAATCTTGTTTGAAGTCCGACAGAAATTATTTAATCTGTCTACGATAAACATTACCATCTGCTTGAGTTTTAATCTAATTTTTGCAGAGTTGATTTCAAATGAAATCATTTCTATTAATTTTTTACGACTAAGAATTCTTTTACAGGTCTTGGGCTTCGAAAATCGATTGGTCTTTGTGCCTCGTGGCGTATTTCACAGAGTCGCATCAATGAGATGTCTGAAAGTTTGACAGAATCAGCTTTCTTACGAACTTTCTGTTCGGTAGTGGGTGAAAACCTTCACATTAGAAGTCTAAGGAGTATTTTTACGACAAAAATTACCGTCAGAATCAAAATTTATATAAAATAGTTTGACTACTATGTGGGTTTTCTCCTAGCGGTTGTAGGAGTTTTTTCGACTCGATCCTGCATGTATAACTGATAGCAAGATTGCAAACAAAACAAAAATTTCGCTGCATTCAATTTTAATAGATTATTACAACAAATTTAGCGCGAGGGAGTGAAACAGCTGTTGTGAGTATTCCAGTAATGAAACAGAGGAAGGTTTTAGTTTACTACCATTTGGATATATCAGTGTTTTGGTCAACGAAAGAAGACGGAACAAGAGTACGATTCTGTAAAATTTTCAGAATCGTTATTTAAAGTAGTGTAGCTTGTATTCATCGTGGCTGTAGGAGAAAAGCTCACGCTGAAAACCTTTCCATCTCATAAGAGACCGCAAGGAACAATGATGGCAAGTAAGGCAGCAAACCCTGGTGGTTGGTCCATGTATTATTTTTACAGCAGATGTTTTCCTTAGTGTCATTAATTTGTCCGTTTTTTAGATCTAGATCAGCAGCTAATCACACTTTGTGCCAAAAATCAAAACTGACCATCTTGCGGATAATTATTTTGAATAAAACATGTTATGCAAGTGATTTGTCATCACATCTCTTTGAGGCTGGTCTTCGATTTAAATTTCGGTTCCATATCTTGGCGAAGGACGCAAAATTCTTCGCGAACTATGACGAGTTTCAAGAAAGTTGCTCATTCCAGCGTTACTCGACAGTCGCTCGGTCACAAAGAAAGTTCCAACTTTGCAAGTTAACATTTAAGCTTTCATTGAAAGACTTTAGAACTTCCTAAGTGTTTTGAATCGAGTTATTTTAAGTATGCTTTGTTCCTGGTATCTTACATGGTCCTTTAACAAAGAAAATAAAAAAAACAAATCACATTGACCAGAAAATACCTTTCGTATGAACCAAAGTATGCAAGTCTTTTAACGACACAAACAGTCTACTATTTTCACCAAAACCCTCGAACATTGTAAGGACTACTTTCGAATATAGTTAAAAATATATTTTGTTTCGATTTTGAAAGCATTCAAAACATACGCCATATAAAAAAAGCGTTTTCAAGGATGTATACATGTTTGCTTGTGGGGTTACGTTTTCATGTAACTTTGATTTTCAGTCGGTAGGTTAAATTTCTATCGCTTCCAGTCCCCAACACACCAAAGTAAAATATATTTTCAGAACACAAGTGATAGAAGATGACAATATCACCAGCGATTATATCTTTGTGGTTGTGCTTCCATGGTATTGGAAGTCTTATCTTAGTCTTGCCTATTCCAATACACATGTATTCGTATGTACGATTTCAAGGCGAAACGTAAATTTGAAAGATGATCAATCTCAAGTCTTACTGATTATGCACTCAATGTACATTATGTTAATAGTTTGTTGTGTGTCTGGATTTTTTAAGTATACAGCCAGCATATGGTGAAAGTTCTTACTCTAGATATTTTATATTGAGCAGAAGTTACTCGGTAACATTTGTGCCTGTTTGAGCTGTAGCGATCCACCAAGTGAGATGTCATTTTTTTTTAAAAGTACCGTGATTATCGATGAAAAAGGAAAATCTATCTATGCCTCGTCTTTTCAATAATACAACTGCTTTACAACTCCGACATACGAAAGCAGAATATTCCTTGCTTCAAGTTCGAAACAAATATTTTTAATTGGACCGTCTCTTTAACATCTCGTCCGTTCCGTGACTTTTCCGTAAACACTGAACTCATCTCGGTTAATTGCAGCCCCTGCAGCCGATTCGTATCTCCTTGCTTTTAAATTTCTTAGTTTTCTCCTCACGACAACGAGGTTTGAACTTTAAGCATCGTCTGTTTGAAGCTCCAAGTCTCACTGAAGGTTTTCAAAGATCTAGACACAAGCTTTAGAGTCTATTAATATTGGTATATTAATAGTACAAGGAAGAAATCTTGTCTTGGTTCTCTGCCAGTTCAATCGTATTCAAAACGAAAGTGCTGACGCATCAAATTGCAGTCAACATCAATGCTTGTGTCAGAAATATTGTATATTACTTGCAATAAGGAGGTTTGGAGAGATTAAACAGAGGTTTAGTTTCATGATATAAAAATTAAGTTTCTCCCTTTATTCCTTGAAAACTTATAGTTATAATATCATATCTCGAAAAGGTTAAGCTAGGTTGTGGTTTCTGCTTAAAATCCATGTTCAGGTCTTGCTCAAACTTGAGCAACATGCTGAAATCATTTACCCAAAACTATGACAATTATCACATGCGGGCAATGTCTGCTTTTACCTAAAAGAAAATCAATTTAGGCAGCACAGGAGCACTTTTACAGCTGAGGTAACTTCAAGCAATTTGGACATAGAAGATATAAGTGTGATAGTTTACCAAATTGAAACACTCAAGCTAAACAAATGTCTGGGAACATTTTGGGGAAAAGAAAAAAGATCGTTCACAGAACACGCCATTAAAGTAAATGTTGTAATTTACCGTGTGAGGATGGTAGTGAGAAGTGTTATTGTCGGTGACTAACTGGTTTCGACAATCTGAGAGGAAGTAAACATCAATATCAAAACAAAACTGAATGCCAACTTAGAATTTCTCTCTGGCTTCTCTTTATTTTTCTCCTTTTGCGCGCAAATATCGCAGAGAAAGCCTCGAGAACAGTACGAAGAATTAGGCCGATGAATGCAACACCTGTGTTTTTCGTGCAACATCTAATCAATAAGATCCAACAAATGTTATCGTTACTTTACGATGATTTCTTTCTTCAGCCTCGGCCGGCAAACTACAAGTGAGCATTACCAAGAGGTGAAACAAAACTGAAAACAAGTTACGTGTCTGTAAGGAAAAAACTTAAAATATTCCTTTTGAAAGTTGGGAAGGTTCGAAACGGATTAAATCGCACTATTTAGCCCGGGAATATCGAACCATGAAGTAAGACTCAGAACTGGCGGATAAGATTATTTAAGTCGCTTCAAAAACATTATCTGGTTATTTCACTCCAATGCTGCGTTTGTATAAAATTGAATTCCAGGTACAGTTTATCATAGAGAGCCGGATTAAGGAAAAATTTGAATATATCAGACATTCGTGTGCTATGTTAAACCATGAATAAAAATAAAGCTCCAAATAGAGAGGTTTTTGAGATGATTCATGGACTAAATGTGAGATCAGACCGAAGATAATTCTTGGCTCATTCGTTTAGTGGCTTTTTTTTTTTTTTTCAAATTCAAGAAAGCGTAGCATTGTGGGATGTTGCCGTGAAAACTTTGAAAATATTATAGGTTGAAAAATCTTTGGTCTCACTACCGGACCTGGTGTTTAAAAGAATTCTCTACTTTACTTACATCTTTGACATACAAGTTATCCGCTGTAAATCTTCGAGTTTTAATCGAGTAGATAATTATGAAACGAAAATTCAGCTTTAAGTTGGATGCTGTTATACGGAAGCCGGTGAAATCCGCTTGAGGTATTGCATCAGGTTTTGCGTTGAGAATTGCATCAGCCAAAACTCCCCGTCATTAAAAGTTGTTCTGGTCAATTGTGAGCTCTTTCGACATCTATTTCTAAACCGAGTGAAAAAAAAGATAACGTCAGTTCCTCCCGCGAAAATGTTTAAAAATATTCAGATGAAACACATAAAGCTGCATTTTTCTTGAGTCTGTCCTGATTGGAGTGAATCAGGGCACCCCACTGCCAGCAAGGGACACGAAATGAAAAACGTTATAAGCTGTAATATTTCGTTAAAAAAATGACAATGCTCCCGTGTTGCAAAAATTGCAAAAGCGTTGAAAAATTGATGTTATTTATTGGGAAAATTTTTCTGATATAAGGGACATGGTTTTATTTTGAGCATTAACCGGAATTTATGTAAAACTTTCCACCCAGCAATGTCCTGGTCACGTACGGTCCTCCTCATATCATATCAAATGTTGCAAGGCATCAACTGAATAGACATACATTTTAATTGCAATCACTTATGAACTTTACAGAAACCTTATCATATCTGCAACCGTACTCTTTTTGTCTTGATGAAATGTTTTTATACGATATGACCAACCTCATGCCATTAAAGAAAAAAAAAAAAAAAACATTTATCTTCAGCCATAGTAAGTAGTATAGTATTCCCTAATCAATATGGCGGCCAACATTATTTCTTGCACCCGCCCTTCTGGGTTTCACAGAGAACCCAAACAAAACTTACAATTGATTTTTTTCTTGAGAAAATGTAAACGACTCTTAAGAGTTGTATTTATCGCGTTAAATTGTCTTGAATCGTGACTTGAATTTATCAGTTACTCTTAAAGCTTGTAGTTACCGACTGTTCACATCAATCGGACTCGTCAGTAGGCTTTTGATTCGCTACTACTGTGTACCGATTGCTTTCAAGAAAAAAAAAAAAAGATTGCTTTCAAGGACATTATTCTCTACTTCTCTAATGTAACTTTTTTTGTCACATTCTGCCCAGGGGAAACTAACTAGGTGCTCTGGGTGTAAGTTGACGAAAGCTAATGTTTCAAAGTACCACACATTTAGGAAAGACATGTTAATATCAAAATTTCAAAAAGAGCACTTTGCGAGTATGCTATGTAGCGAAATATAAAATAGCCAAGTGCTTTCGATTTGTTTCAGAATTTTGTGCATTTCAGGTCTTTATCGTCGATTTCCCTTGCTTTTTTTGGAGATAAACTTGGTTAATTTCAGTTGTTATGATTCTTTAAGACCAATAATAATTGAATTCAAAGCCCACGTCCTGCTGGATCAAAGGAAAGCTAATTAAAATCCTACTCACGTACACTTTAAAAACACGAAAATAAATGTTGACCTTCAGTTTGTTATCGACTGTTCTTTACCAGTCAAAACTTTATTTAAAAGACCTAGTTTGATTGGCTGCGAAATTAAAGCATTTTTTTTTTTTTTTTCAGTAATACTACTCGTTTACTATGTTGATAATGTTATTACGATTCAGTCTAAATTAATTTTGCTTAATTTTGTACG